GGGAAATTATCCAGAATGGTTCAAAATAACACGGTTTTATCCGGAGATGTGCCGAAATGAAATCAATACCCAGTGGGTGTATTCGCAGGGTGTAATACAAAAACCCTTAGAAACATGGGCACCACTGGGCAACTGGGCAAGGCACCACCCCACGCCTCCTCCTCGCCCTTCAGCTTCTTCGCCTCCTCCTGGGATTCCTCCAGCTGCTTGCGCTTCCTTGGAACCGAGGTGTGTCTCAAACTCCCGGAACCTTTCCCAAATGGGTGGGGTCCTTTTGGTGTTTTTGTACTCCCCAAGAAACAGGTAGCCTCAAAAAACAAAACCGCATGGCCAGTTGGAGAAGGAGTTTCTGGAAGCTCCTTTCTTGGCTTACCCTTCACTTCCGCTGCTTGCTGGCATTAACAAGTATGATGACACGTTTAGCAGTCACGGCTGCGTATCTTTGAAAGATCAACAGGGAATGAACAAAAAAATAGCACCTTAAGAAAATGATGTCACTTAGACCTAGCTAACTCAGTTCGGCAGATTGCCCTAATCGGGGTATCAATGGAGGATCAATACTTGAGTGTGCAATTCGCCAAGTTAGTTAGTTGTTGGCAACCTAGCTGATAACCCACTTCTAATTCCCCCGTGAATGTGGGGTGAACGCTGCTAAGGGGTGAACAAATCCAAGTGGCTAACCACAAACACGAACTTGGCCGGCAACGCACATCCAAGTAGGGGCATCTCTCAATTCAAGACATGTGTTCGTCTTTTTTGAGGGTTTTTCTGGGTTGAGGAAACCAAAAGGGAAACCACAATATTGGGGGGGGCGTCCTAAAAACAAACACGCCCAACTCCGATTGCATTGCTCCATTGTGGAGTCCGGCCACCAGGGCACAGGCCCCACTTAGGGACCACATGATGATACACTGACATGGCTGGATCAGCCATCAAGGAAAACCCAGTTCTTACATACAACACCTGTGGTCAATGGGTCCTTAATCATCTTGAGGTTAACTCATTGGCACATATGCACTTGCACCAGTTTCCAAACAGACACAGAGTAAACACAAGCACACAAATCAAAAACAGCGGCACCAGCTGCCGCCAGATTGCTTGCTGACCATCCCCATGACGGGCGAAAGAAGCGGGCGAATCGGAGGATGATTGACTGCAAGTGCTTTCACCGTTGTTGGCTCGTTTGCCAGTCTCTTAAGGTCTCTGAGTGGCACGAATGGCATTGAAGTGTAGGGTGCCTGTTTCTGTTTGAAAAGGCTTTTGTTGTTGGCATGGAGTGTGACTGCCGAGTATCCTGCTGCTTGTTTCCACGGCTTTGCCCGTATCGCTTGTGCTTCATGTCGGGAGCAACCTTGCCGAGCCGAGACATGGGAGCTCTTACATGCAAGAGCCAGCCTCCCCAAAGGGTCCAAGTGCTTGGAACCCAAAATTACAGATGTTCTGCGCTACACTTGGTGCTTCGTGTGCACAACAGAATGTGTGTGCTTGGTATCTTGTCCGGAATGCCCCACCCAACCCCAACCGGGAGAATCATGCCCTTCTCATCCGTCCATTCATTCTTTCTTGGTTCCGCACAAGGGGGTACTGGAGGGGGTATGAGTCAAACTCCCCCCCCCAACAAAAAAAAATGACTTGTCCTTTGAATTCCCCCCCCCCCCCAAAAAAAAGGAAAGAAGAACACACCCAGTTGCCGCAAAATGCTGGTCTTGGGGCCAGGGCTCCAACAAAAGGGCCCCTTCCACGTGTCAGGTGCCCTCCCTTTTCAGGTCTCATCTAAAAAGCAATGGGCGTGTCAAAGCAGGAATCGGAAGCCGCAAAACGGGTCACCTGCTGGCGTCCCTTTAAGCCCCCCCAAAACAATACGCCTCCAGAATTTATTGGCCAGCACCGGGGAGAACACGATTGGGCTGAAGAAGAACCAATCAACTTAACACTCCGAGGATTCAGTTGAGAGTTCGGGCCAAGGCCAAATCTCGAAGACAGATCGTCTGAACACATCTTGAAGCTCTACACCCTCAATGAATATCACAGAGGAGGGAAACCCCAACCTGCCTCACCCCTGAAGACAAGGGATCCTTGAAGAGTTGACTCTGAGATGATTTGTGCGATGATAAAGGTGGCCTTTCACATGGTTTCTATGCTGGGTGATTTTAATTATAACCCAGAAGGAAAACCACATTCTTTGGGGGGGTCCGAATCCCAAAAAAAGGCCACGCCGGCCTTCTTAAGAGACGAGCCCAACTTAGAGGGGTGCGTCATTTTTTGCGGAAGGGAACCCAAAACGAAAGCCGAGATCCATTTGGGGGGTCCGAATCCTACAAGCAGACAGGGCCAAAGTACATAGGTGGCCTTCTGGAAAAATAGATGGCCCTGGTAAATGGAAGAAACCCCACCTAAACCAGTGGAACCCAGCTTTTTTGAATCAAACTCACCTAAAAGGAACACCTATGCCAAAGTATGTTCTTTCTTGCGAGCCCAGCCCACGGCTCTCTTCGCTTTTGCAGCTCATTGGCATCGCTCCCCGCTCGCAGCGAGCCGGAGGGCTCAGAGCGACTTCTTGCTCCCCTGGAGATGGCTCGAATTTCGACCCCCCAAAAGGGATCTCCGGCGATTCCCTTGCGATTTCCCCTTTACACTTGGAAGCAGCATGAAAAGGAGACCCTAAACACACACACACAGAGGAACAGGACCAGAGCTGGCCCCATTTGGATGGCTCCTTTCTGAGTTGGTACCCCCTAGGTTTTAAAGTTTAAAGAGAAAACCAAAGGAAAACCGGCGCGCCATGTTGGGGTCCCGGCCCAAAATCCTAAAAGACACGCCTATTTGCATGGTTTCCTACAAAATGAATACAACACTTACCTGTTTTCTTGTGATATTCAACATGGCTCAGATGCTCAGAAGTGTCTTTGTAGCTATTCTGAGGCTTATCCGACCTCTGCCAAACAGTTGACATTGTGCTAGTAGGGGGCACAAAAGGCACCCCAAAGAAAGGGCCAAGCAGTCCACATCCATTTCCATACCTAGGCCTTCCCGCACGAAACATGGAAGACCCGGGGATTTCACATTCCACATCCATTTCTGGGCTCAACAAACATGCAGCAACATGGCGGCTCAGGCTATTAGGAGAATGGAAGGACTACCACCTGTGCAACCCTGTGTCAAACGCGCTTGAACCCCAGAAACCTGTGTCAAACGCGCTTTTTGTGGACCACCGCAGAAACCAAAGACTACAACTTACCCACCATGGCGCCTCAGGAAAAATGGAACCAAAGGCTACAACTTACAACCTGTACATGGATAGACTACCATCTGTGTAACCCTAGCTCTTTCATGTTGACTTCATATCGTGCCTGCGCCGAACGGCAAACGTCCGCCCACGATTCGGCATCCATCCCTCGCCTGCCTGCCCGGGCTGCGGCGGCGCTTTGGGGCTGTCCTTGTGCTCCTTGCCATGTACAGGCTATTCAGCAAATGGGGGCAGGCCAATTGTGGAATGTACCACCTAAACCACCAAACCAAACACCAAGTAGGGGGAAGGTCATCATAGGAAAGGCTTCAATGACGCAAGCCCGGAAACGGGTTCCTTTGGGTGGTTCGGCTCTGCTTAGAATTTGGACGCAAAATCTTGGGTTTCCTCTTGCTTTCCCTGTACCATCAAAAAAAGACAGACCCATTTAGGTGATCTGAAAACGATGACTTTTTGGAGGTTGTCATTAAAACCGCCTTTTGAAGGACAACACTGAGGGTGTCCAGTTTGATGGCATCCTGCAAAAACAGCGAACTCCTTGATTTTCTGCCTCAATGAAAGGCCACGCACATGGAACTCCTTGGCTTCACAGAGTGCCAGTTTTCTGCTTTCAGCGAAGGTCGTCAGGGGTCACGGGACTTCCCCTTGAGGGCCCAGAAATTGAACAGATCGAACCGGGCCGAATTTCATGGAACGCCTCCCTCAGGGCTCGCTGGAACCAAAAAAACGTTGCTCAATTCACTGGTGGTGTCCAGAACGATCGAGGTAACACGGGAAATGGCTCGGAAACGCTGGGACGTGGGAGCAAAACAACAGAACCACCGCAGAATGGTAAACGAGCCATGTGATCGCACGGATTCTGCAAGCTAGGTCTCGCCTCGTTCTCCACACAATGAACCCCCGGCCGTTTGGGGCTCGGTGCTCTTTTCGGGGTCGGCTGAAAGAGAGACCAAAAAGAAACGAAACATTTTTGGGGTCCCCCAATTTTGAGACAAGCCCATGTACGTTCCGTTGCTCATCCCAAGCTTGCGCTTCAAACATCCGCACTACTGGTCCCCTGAAATTGTTCCGCTGGTCCCCTGAGCGTCACCTGACCGCCCCCCATCACCCACCCCCCACCCACACCACCCATCCCCCCACCCATCCCCCCACCCATCCCCCCACCCATCCCCCCACCCATCCCCCCACCCATCCCCCCACCCATCCCCCCACCCATCCCCCCACCCACCCACCCACCCCACTCACCCACCCCACCCACCCCACCCACTCCACCCCCCCCACCCACCCCACCCACCCCCCACCGCAAGGGCGAAGAGGCCGGGCACCCGGGTCCCGATGAAGCTCCCCGCCTGCAGCGCTCTCTTCACTTCCACATGCAAGTCAGCCATCGCCTGCGCGTCGGGTCCCGGTCCCGGACCTGCCGGGTCCGGGACACCGCAGAAAAATTTATGCCCTTCCTATTTGCAGGGGGGTGTTCCTCTCCAAAAGTGGCCTGAATCCCCACACCCAGGTTGACGCCCCATGAACAAAACAGGGGTTGGTTCATGCAGGCTCCCCAGCCATGTTCAAGTGACGCGACCGGGGCCGGAAGGGGGCAGTTCCGATTCAGCGCCCTGGTTTTTCCATTTACCAAGGTGCCATACCCCCGGATCTGGATTTGGCTTCCTTTGCAAACCAAGGAGAAGCTTATACTGCAACCAAGGTGGTTGCTCAGAATTCCAGATCACTTCCGGGTAGGAAAACGGCAGCCCTGTCACACTGTCTCTCTTTTCAGGACCAAATGGGAGCCAAATGGTTACAGGAGCATTCCTAAGAGGGGAGTCTAAGATGGCGTGCGCTCGGTGTGCGCCTACGGATTGCAAGATGGGGTACACAACCACACAGCCATTCTAGAAAGGTATATAGATCTGTGTCCTCAAGAGTAATGGCTTGGTGAAGTTGGGCAAGTCTTCGAGGCTTACCCTTTGTATTGTGATACGAGGTCATGTGTGAGGCCCGCGATCGATCTGGAGAGGAATGACTGGGTCTGGGAGAATGGTTGTGATACCAAAGTAGGATTGATGATCATTGTAAGGGGTATCCCTTGGTATCACAGAAAATTAAGCCAACGCGTCATATCCCGTATCTACGAAAGGAAAATGATGATAGCAACTCCACCAACCTGCGAGGTTCAAGTTGAAGTTTGGCAACCAGAGGGCCAAAGGCCACCAAGTAAAAAACCCTGAGGGGGCATGAACAGAGGCAGTGTTGGGCGTTCTTTTCAAGCCCCCTGGCCGCTGACTAGTGCTGAAGCAGAGTTCGTCCCATGTTTCCCTAAGCTCCATGAGAATCTCTTCGAAGAGGCAAGCTTGTGATGCCGGAGGAGACCTTCAAACTTGCTTGGGGAAAATGATGATAATGACTCCACCAACCTGCGAAGTATTTGTCTTTTTGCGCAGGGGGTAATAGCCGCCAAGTAAAACCGCCAAGAAAATGCTAAGCCATTTGAAGACGCGTCTTCCTGTGAAGGGAACCGCCAGCCATCTAAGTAGTTGACCCTCAATGGATTCCTGCCACATGGGTTCCTTTCGGATGCGCAAAACACGTGAGAACCTCCTTTGGCGCCAGTCGGCAGCAGTTCAACTGTTGAACGATTGATCGCCTGAAGCGCTTGGGTGCTTAGGCTTTGTAGTTTATCACCACACGGAGTTGTAACTGGGGAAACTGGGGTGGTTCCAACCTTCACTAAGTAACTTGAACACCCAAGTGTTCACCAGCCAAGACCCATGTTCAAGGGTTATAACCTACTCACTTCGTTTCAATACAGGAGTCACAACGAACATCTGGTCTTGACATGATCTACCCAAATCCATGTAAGGAAATAAAAGGCGGATATCCGCACAATTCTTTGCTGGCTGGGACTGCCTGACCTTCATCTGCCCGAATCGGCGTTGCCGGGGAAACTCCTTTTTGTGGGGAACCTAATGTTGACCCCTAGTAACACGTTGGGGTTCAGCAATATGGCTGTGGCTCAAAAAAGAAAATGGTACCCAAAATGGAACCCTGGCAAATGAAAGCATGGACCAAAACTTGCGGTCTGCCTTTCATTTTGAGCCACACCCATGTGACCTTCGGGGACCCCATATTACTGAACCCCAGGTTGTTCATAGCCTGGGGTTCAGCAATATGGGCTCAACATCACTTCGTTTCAGCCGGGAAAGCCGCCTTCGAGCCCGAGCCGACCGAGAAAAGCCAACCGAGAAAAACGCACGCCAAGGCTGCGGGCCGGGCCGCGCGCGCCTGCTCGGAGCTCCGGTGCGCCATGAGCTGCGGGGAGATCATCAAGAGCTTCCGCGACAGCTCCTCCCGAGGCCTCGTGAAGGGGTTCGTCGGAGGGAATGGCAAGGGGGTGGTTTTGATTTTGGGCGCGTTCGCGGGATTTCTTGGGCTTGACCACTGATTCTCTGTCCTTTTGTTTGTTTCTGTTTGAGAACCAAACAAAAAGCAAGACACAAACAAACTGCAGATGTTGTTTGACCACACGAGAGACGAAACACAAATCAGACATCGCAGTTTGCTTCCTGGCGACTCAGGTACGTCATTGTTACTGGGCTAATCTTAATCTTTAGCCAAGTAAAGGATCACCCCCCCCATACCCTCCCCTCATGCAGCAAACAAGTTCGCCTGTTGCCACCTCTGCCATGGCCAACAGCGTGAGCAAATCGCATGGTTTTTACACCCTCCTCCCCCACCAAGGAAAAGGTCGTTGGCAAAACCAACGTCTGCACCTACTTTCCTCCCATTGCAGGCCCAAAGGGGTGAGCAAGAAGTTTACGGACCCGTGCCGTAGGAAGCACACCCACACAAACCCGCACACACACACACACACACACTTGTGAAATCCCCCCTCTCTCGGTCCTTGTTGTGTCTCATTTCTTCTGCGAGGGTCAGGATCAAGCCCAGTGGGCACACATGCACTTTAATTGATTGAGTGGAGTTTCGTCATCCTTGGGCCCTACTCGTCAGGGCCACAGACTAGACCCAAGGATGGCTGTGGCCTACTCCACATACTTGGAAAAGAAATGGAGAGTCCGGATAGCCGGCACCACCTCGACAATTTGCAAAGACTCCCAGCTTGCGAGTCTGACAAAGAACTCAGATCAGCCCTTGGCAACAGGGATGGACACACACAATCAGCCACGCGGCACTTCTTTCGCCATGGACATTGCAGCCTGCGCAGAACCCAAATCCCACCGCTGGGCCCCAGCCGGGTGTGTAAAACGCCCGCGGGCCAAACTAAAATGAACAAGACGTGAAAAGGCTCCAAACCCTGTGGCCTGTACAGAGCCAGACGCGCCGCAGTCACCGCGGCCGGCAAAGAGAACCGTCGCAAAAGGGCCAAAGGGACCCTGCGCAAAGCGAGGAAAAAGAAAAAGAACAAGAAAACAACAAAAAAAAAACGAACATATCCGAGATGCTCCACTAACGCCGGGGCCCCGGCCGGGTATTTGAATCACCCGCGGGCCAGAAAAACCGACGGCAGAAATCCACGCCTTTCCACGAGTTTTCCCTTGTTTTCTCACGTCTTTCACTTGCATCTCAGGCATGGCACAGCTCTTAATCCGTGCGTTCCCGGCAGAAATCCACGCCTTTCCACGAGTTGTCCCTTGTTTTCTCACGTCTTTCACTTGCATCTCAGGCATGGCACAGCTCTTAATCCGTGCGTTCCCGGCAGAAATCCACGCCTTTCCACGAGTTTTCCCTTGTTTTCTCACGTCTTTCACTTGCATCTTAGGCATGGCACAGCTCTTAATCCGTGCGTTCCCGGAAATCCACGCCTTTCCCAGTTTTCCCTTGTTTTCTCACGTCTTTCACTTGCATCTCAGGCATGGCACAGCTCTTAATCCGTGCGTTCCCGGCAGAAATCCACGCCTTTCACGAGTTTTCCCTTGTTTTCTCACGTCTTTCACTTGCATCTCAGGCATGGCACAGCTCTTAATCCGTGCGTTCCCGGCAGAAATCCACGCCTTTCCACGAGTTTTCCCTTGCTGCATGGCACAGCTCTTAATCCGTGCGTTCCCGGCAGAAATCCACGCCTTTCCACGAGTTTTCCCTTGTTTTCTCACGTCTTTCACTTGCATCTCAGGCATGGCACAGCTCTTAATCCGTGCGTTCCCGGCAGAAATCCACGCCTTTCCACGAGTTTTCCCTTGTTTTCTCACGTCTTTCACTTGCATCTCAGGCATGGCACAGCTCTTAATCCGTGCGTTCCCGGCAGAAATCCACGCCTTTCCACGAGTTTTCCCTTGTTTTCTCACGTCTTTCACTTGCATCTCAGGCATGGCACAGCTCTTAATCCGTGCGTTCCCGGCAGAAATCCACGCCTTTCCACGAGTTTTCCCTTGTTTTCTCACGTCTTTCACTTGCATCTCAGGCATGGCACAGCTCTTAATCCGTGTTCCCGGCAGAAATCGGCAAATTGCAACGACGGCCTAGACAGCAGCAAAAAAATACATCGGGGGGATTACGGCATCTCAGACCCAATGGGCATGCTGGTTTCTGAGGCGATAGACATCGCTGGCAGTCTCCGTTGTGCTTCACAGCACCAACCATAAAATGGCAACTGAGTGGGAAGACTCCCAAAGCTTGGCGGAACAAAGGCAAGTTCCAAACAAACCTGGGGACCTCAAGGGTCAAATCTGACATCTGAGGGTCAACTGAATGACCAATGCTGCGCGCGAGCCGATGGCAAGGCTCAATCAAACAGAGTAGGCTATCCTACCGCAGGCAGCCCGTTAAACGAACTACTGCCTGGATCACACTTGTGAAATCCCCCCTCTCTCGGTCCTTGTTGTGTCTCATTTCTTCTGCGAGGGTCAGGATCAAGCCCAGTGGGCACACATGCACTTTAATTGATTGAGTGGAGTTTCGTCATCCTTGGGCCCTACTCGTCAGGGCCACAGACTAGACCCAAGGATGGCTGTGGCCTACTCCACATACTTGGAAAAGAAATGGAGAGTCCGGATAGCCGGCACCACCTCGACAATTTGCAAAGACTCCCAGCTTGCAAGTCTGACAAAGAACTCAGATCAGCCCTTGGCAACAGGGATGGACACACACACACACACACACACACACACACACACACACCCGGACACCCTTGACTCTGCAGGTCAAAATCTCCCTGAAACACATCTGAACGCACCTGAACCCTTTTTCGAGAGGGCTGGGACCCGGGAGTTTGTCCGACTGTGATGCCAAATCTTGCCAATTATTCACTAGGGGGGAAGGTGTCCTACTTGGAAGTGGGTGTTGGTGGGTGTTGGTGGTGAGTGTTTGTCTGAAATTCCCGTGGCTGGTTTCAATTAACCTTCTTTGAGCTTTCAGTACTTGGATGTTTAGCAACTGGCTAGCCAATTGAGATTTTTCACCCCCTTAAAGGCAAGTGGTTAATCCCACATCCACGGGTCACTTGTGTTTGTGGGTTATAACCGAACGGTTCCCGTTACAACGTGCCAACTTGGCGAATCGAACAGAGTAGCACCGAGCAAGGAGAATCCTCTCATTCCTACTCTCCACCAGTCCATCATGGAACCTGGGGCAAATAAGCCCGAAATAAGACCCTTCTTCGGGCCTTATGCAGGGCTTCACTTGGGCTCCCCCTCCCCCTCCCTCCCCTTCCTTTGTGCCCAGCCCCCAGGTCAAGACACACAGCGTCATCAACATGCCCAGGCGACAAATCTTCCGTGAATCTCGGCGTTGGAAGATACCCCTGGGAAACCAAAGCTCAGCTCCGACCCAATAAAACAGGGAAGTCACCTTTCGGGCCCGGTTCCGAAGGAACGGGGAAGACCCAATAAGAGCTGACCACCCCAAATCTTTCGGGGCCACTAAAAAATGGTGCCGTTGAACCCCCCAAGTTTGAGGACACCAGCAATCAGGTCGATCTTCGCCCAACTGAGAGGTCGAAGGCCCCGAGACATTGGGCGCCCAGCACACGGCCCCAGGGAAGGAACCTGGGCCGAACGGCGGGTGACCTGATACCAAGGCGTGCTCGTATCCCGAGTGTAGTGACTGTAGGTTGGCTTGGGAAACCTTTGGAAACCCAGGTCTGAGACGGACTCCCTTTCCAGTTGCAAAACTCAAACATCCTTCAAACTTTGACCAACCATTTTTCCCGGAGCCAATTTGAAAGGAATCTCTGAAGAGAATTGGAAAGGTACGGCTAGATGGTCTGGCCCCACCAAACTGCAGTTGGTTGCGCGGGTGCTTGATCGCAAAGAGGGCCAAAGCTCAGTTGTTCCGCTGTGAATTTCAAGAGTTGGAACCACCTCAAAAGAGGCCGGTGGTTACATGAATCCCCACCTGGATGACGTCCACCGATGGCCCCAAACAAGAACTCGCACCCATGTGGGTTTGTCTCAAAATAGAAAAATGTCCCTTTAAACCAAGCCCAAAAAGGGCAATTGGCCCCACAGGGTACGCACCTGGGCAGTTCCTCCCATCTCAAGCAAGAAGCTGCGTGGGTTGGGTGAGCGTGTCCTTTTGGACCATCTCGTCGGGGCCCCGCTCCGAGGGAATCTCCTGAGAGTCTCACTGCCCAAAGATCCTTTAGCATCAGCATTGGACCCTTAAAAGAGGGATCTCCATTGGCGTTGGTTTTGGACCTCAAAGATTTGGCCTTTGTCCCAAGATTCAGGCAAGAAAACCGGCAGAGGATGACCAGTGGAGACCCCAAGATGGGGTCTCCAAGGTGTCCTTTTGGTTTCCGGCCGTCCAAAAAACAAGCCTTTGTGGCAACGTGGATGGCTGGGGACCTGGGCCGGTCTAGACAAACAGATGGCCCTGGTAAATGAACAGCATGAAACCAATCTAAACCAATCAAAGCCATCCACTAGCCAAACTCACCGATCAAAAGGACACCTATGGCTTTTTGGTACCTCATATTCCTGGGCTTGAAACATGTGCACGCGGAAATTCCAAACGGATTCGCGAAATGTGGGATCCGCTCGGGGAGAAGCAAAGTCCAATTTGAAACCCTTGAAGAATATTTGAATCCAAGCAACTTCAATAGGAACATCCCCAAGGACGGGAAGAACACCACAAGAGTGTTGACATGTCCCTAGCTGCATTTCCATGACTCCCCGTTGGCCATGAGATTTGTGGGCCACCAAACTGGTCCAAGCCCCAAGTGCCCAAAGTCCCGGAACTGGAGAGAGGTCATGTTTTCGACGCAGCAAGGGGCAGAAACATTTATACTGTGGATGGACGAAACCGAGCTCGCACCACCTAACAAAAAACATGAGTGAAGCCATATAACGTGTGTTGGTGTTTGCGGGCTTCTTCTTCGGTGGTGCGAACGGATTTCGTCCATCCACAGAATGTTGGGTCATAAGGCAACCTCCCAGAAAGCGCCTGAAAGCACAGCTCGGACGAGCGCAGAGGCCACCATTCAAATTCCAGATTCCTGGCATTGGGATTTCTGCGGCAGTTGGTTGTGTTTTGCCTTTAACCCCAAAAGGGCAGCAAGCCTCACATAGGTGACCTTTTGGACAAATGGATGGGTGTCCCTGGTTTTTGTTGGATGGCATGAAACCAAACCAGTGGAACCCAAAGGATCAAACGGACACCTGCCGGGTCCATGACTTTACCATGATTAAAGTCACCCCCCAATTGGTTCAAGGGCAACACCATTTTCTGGCTTGGACCCCAGAAACAGAACCAACACAATGACCCTAGTACCAAGCCTCACACAAACACCCATCCAGGTGTATGAATTTTGAGGGACCCCCAAAATCATGGTGGTTTCTCTTTACAAGCCACCCCAAATGCGGCTTCCCCCCTCTTTCCTCTTTCGATCAATGTTGAATTGAAACAGAAAACGGGGGACGGCATCGGAGCCAGTTCATTCTGCGCAATCATCATGCACCCCAAAACCACCGTCAATATGGATCCCAGCACTGTCTCAGCGCCTCAAACCGAACAGTGTCATCGGCAAGGGGCACACAATGGCCACCTGGTAATACAAATTGTCCTACCAAGAAACGCCGGAGAAAACAAAAATGCACAAGGGAAGCCCCCCCACCCCCAAAAAAAAGACGATCGACCCATCCGACTGTCCCCTTTCCACCCTCCTCGACCATCGCCGCAGCCGCGCGGGACGCCGCACTGATCGCCGCCGCCGCAGGAAGGACGTCCTCACAGAGACGTCTGGACGCCTCGGGGCATGGGTTGGGAAGTTGGGACCCAAAAAACATCCTCCGAGAACGTCAGCTGGGTGTCGCTCTTTTTTGGGTTGCTTTTTTAAATTAAGCATGGTATGTTGTCAAGTGTATTTGTCTACATGTGGTGCGTCGCTTTTGCTTGGTATTTCAAGGGGCGCTCTGTTTTTTTAGCTTTATATTTTTTTTTGGGGGGAGGGGGGCGATTCCATTTTGAGACAACCCCATAGCGGTTGGTTGAACAGGTTCCGGAATGGGGACGGCCTTGAAATGGTGTGCTTCCCGTTAAACGCAAAATGTGCATCACCCCACTAAAAGAAAACTCACACTACATTGCATGGGCAACCAACTTAAATAGTGTTTAAAACCGCAGAACGGAAAACTTATGTGCGAAAGCGTTCTACGTGTTAACATATCCTTTGCCTAAAACAGCCCTTCAGGTCGGGTCGACAGGGCAGGCGTCCTGCGGCTTGGGGCCGCTGCGCTGCGCCTGGCGCGGAAGTTTTCCCAGTGAACTCAGTCGCGCTCGTCAGGCTCTGAGGCATGCGTCAACGGTGCGTTGCCTTTTGAGCACATGGCGACTTTTGCAGGCTCTCCTGAGGTCTACGTCTACTTCGCGGGTACAAGCTCATTGCGGGCGATTGTTGCAGATGAGAACCCACTCAGTTGCGCTCGTGAGGCTCTGAGGCATGGTGGAAGATAACCCTTGCGAGGAAAAAGGGAAGCCAAAGCTCAGTTGCCCAGTTCGGACCCAGAAGTACCAGATCACCTCTTGGAAGCCTGACGACCAAATGGATCAACATTTCTGGAAAGCCAAAAGGCTAAAGGTCGATTCGCTTTGGGCAAGTGAACCAAACACAAAACATGCCCCCACTGGTCTTGTTTCAAGCAAGCAAGATGGTACATTGGCCAACAAAGCCGAATCACTGACACAGCTCATCTATCCCCAGTCTGAAACTGTCACGCAATGAAGGCCAGACCCTTGGCGGCATGGTAGCGTGTAACCTAACACTTGGCATAGACTCTGGCAACTCAACAAGCCGCCTATGTGACCATAGGCGAACTGCCCAAACATATTAGTTCGCCATTTGGAATGAGGGAACACAAACGAGCCTTTGTATGCGTCCAAAGACTCAAAAACGACCCACCCAACTGGCAACCGCCGCCCCGAGCGCTCGGCGCTCCGCTTCGCTCCTGGCTCCGCCAGCGCATGAAGCCGCCCTGCGCCTTCCGCAGCACGGCGCCTGGGCGCCGGGAGGCGTTTGCCAGCGTTGACCCGCGGCCAGGTCTGGGTGACTTAGGAAACCAGGCGAAACCCACAAAAAAACCAGGGGAAGCCCAATAGGGAAACCAGGGACAACCCTTAGGTAACCAGGGGAAACACATAGGAATCCAGGGAAAACTTATAGGTAAGCAGGGGCAACTAGGAAACCAGTGGGAACTCATAGGTAAGCAGGGGAAGCCCACTGAAAACCAGTCGAACCTGATTGGAAACCAGGGGAAACTCAGAGGAAAAAAGGGGAACCTGATAGGAAACCAGGGGAAACCCAACAAGAACCTGATAGGAAACCAGGAGAAACATAGGAAACAAGGGGAACCTGATAGGAAGCCGGGGAAACGCGTATAGTGCTTGAGAAAAGGGACTCCGTGAACCCTTTTGGCTCACGTACGCCAAAAAACGATTAAGAAAAAAGGAAAAAAGAAAAAAAGGCTCACGGGCTCACAGTTCAGGATCGGGTTCACGGGTTCGTTCAAGGTTTTTTAGAAGGCCAAAAAAAGGCACCACGAGCTCTAGCTTGGAACCCGTGAGCCCTTGCAAGAAAGGCCACTGCCCCAGGGCTCTTTGGGGCCAGCTTGTCGACTTGTCAATAAAGGAATCCGTGAACCCTTTTGTCAAAGGAGTTCACTGACTTCGCCCCCCGTGACAGTCTGTCTGTCTGTCTCTTTGAAACTCGTGAACTCTTTTGGAACCCGTGAACCCTTTTCCAAACAGCCAGGGTCTTGAGTCGTTCCGTTCTTGGCTCTGTGGCAGTCGCTCGGTTTCAGCTGCAAGCTTACTCACACCCTTCGCCACGAGAAGGCGGACCACCGTCGACGGGCAAAAAAGCAGCCATTATCAGCTGCCCTTGGCTTGATGTCGGCTTTTGGCCGTCAGCTGGCACGAGCCCGTGAACCCTTCTCCATGATTGTTCTAAGGTCTGCTGCAAAGCCGAACAACACAGCCATCTCTTGCCAAACCCATCAACCCTTTTTTTAATGGCGCCAATCTCTGGCAATCACTCCACTCCTCCCAGCCCAGGACCATTGCCTGGAGCTTATTGAATTCCGCATGCCCCACCGGTAATCCTTGTCGGACACCTCAACACTGTGGTGGAACTGCTGGGACATGGCAACCCTCTCCACCCCATGCTTGAGTCGCAGGTCAGGAGTGAATTCATTCTCAAACAATTCACGGACCTTGCGCTCCTTGGCTCCAAGGGATGACAAAAAGTTGGAATCAGTGCCGCGTATCGGGCCAATAGCCCGAAAAAAGGGGGAAGCACTTGCTTGCCGTGCAGAGCATCCTGGAACCGAGATGGCGCCTCACCAGGGTTTACGAACCCGTCAACTCTAAGAAACCCGTATAACTCTTTGAAGCCCGTGAACTGACTGAGTCGTGTGGACTCTTTGAACCCCCTTTAACGCCTCAGCACCGGCAGGTGGCGCCGAAGATACGTCTCATAGACGCTCTTCACCTTGCCGTGCAAAATCTTAGGCACGTCCTTCTCCTACCCGGGCGTGTCTTGATTTGCTAGGATTTGGGCTGGTCTGGAGGGAAAATCAACGCAAGGTTTCTGTGAACTCCAGAAATATATCCGTAAACGGTTTGTTGTCTGTGAACTCAAGAAAGAATTCCATAAACCCTTTTTGTGGGTTCTGAGTCAGACATCGCCAAGTGCGAGCTTCAGCTTGCCGAGCTTTGGCGCGCCTTTCTCGCAGGCCCTTTTTTTGCACGGCTAATCCGTGAACCTTTTTGGGACTGAGCATCATCGGGCCGAGCGATGACAGGCGGCGTGCGTGGCTCCGGATCACCTGCTTCCGGCCCACATAAGCCAGCCTGACAACCCTCAAATCCCGATCATGTCCGTTCTCAGGCACGAAGGGGGTGCTCCCCAGGCAGAAACCGGTGACGAGAGAGCAGTTTTCAACAACGACCGTGTAGGCTTGTAGGCTTGGTGTTGGTCCACAAACACCTTCAGCTCCGGACTTCCGCCCCAAGAGCCGTTGCACCGCATGCCTGCGTGCAGCAAGTCACAGACGGAAAGGGTTCACGTGTTGAACCGAAAAAGGTTCACGGATTTCCAAACAGTAACGGGAACCGAAAAGGTTCACGGATTCCCCAGCCTTGGACGTACTCACCAAAGTCAACATCTGGGTGCTCTGCCTCAACATACCACGCATACGACTCCGGGTTGAGGAGCGGTGTGTTGCACACACCCTCCCGGACTGCACGATGGTCGATCTGGCAGAGCCGACCCAAGGCGTGGAAGAGGCAATTGCCATCTCCATCCATTACCAACTCCCACCGGTGTCTCAGGACCAAAGGCAACCCGATAAGAAGAAGGTTTTGTTCAATCGCGGTCCTTGCAGTTCATGGCTGCCAGCATTTCACGGACCGTGTCCTTTCCATGAGATCTTGCAAGCTTTCCAAACTGGACTCCTGGCAGGAGATCTGTTTTCGTTAATTATAAAGAAAACAAGGGCGCGGCGCAAACCCCTCCTTGTGGGGATCCGGGTTGAGGGCTTGCATGTGCGCCAAGTGGAGATATGAGCAGATCTCCGACGTTGGCGTCAAAACGCGCAGGTGATCCTGGCAAACCGGCAAACCCTTTCAAACCCGTAAACCCTTGTCAACACGCAGACCCTGTTCAATCATCCCTTTGGGCTTGCCTCAACTTCCGTGAGCGGGCGAATCTTGATCAACTCCTCAATGAAGTTTCCCACCATGCCCGCACAGAAATTCTTCTAGGCAAGCGGACATGAAAGATGTCACAGGGTCTGCCTGTTGCTTGGTTCAATTAATTTGCTGAGGCACATCAGCGACCTTGGTAGCCATTCCTAGAAGGGGAAGTTGATTCAGAGTACAGTTGAGAGCTTGAGATCTGAAAATGCACGAGCCAACTTGACCGAACCCGCGAACCCTTTTGGAACAGCCTTCAAAACGATTGAATCCGTGATTCCTCAGCATGGGGGGGGACGGGCCTCCAAGGCATCGAAAGATGGCAACGCCCCCATCCAAAACCACTGTTTCGAACCATTGAAAGTGCAAAAGGCAACGCGCCCACCAGGATCAGAAGAAACAGCCCATCATCAGCCCCAGGGAATACCTCTCGAAGAACGTGCCGAAAACGAAGAGGTAACCAGAGGAAACCGACAGGAATCCAAGAGAACTGATAGGTAACCAGGCATTTGTAACCAGGCGAAACTCATAGGCAACCAGGGGAAATGAAGGAATCCAGGGAGAAAACTCATAGGTAACCAGACTCATATGTAACCAAGCAAACCTATATGAATCCAGGAGAAACTCATAGGTAAAACAACTCACAGGCAACCAGGGGAAACCCATAGGAAACCAGGGGATAGGAAAAAATAGGTAGGGGGAAACCCTAGAAATCCTGGGAAACTCATAGCCAGGCGAAACTCATAGGTAACCAGGGAAACTCACAGGGTAACCAGGGGAAACCCATAGGAACAGGCGTAGCCAGACGAAAAATCATATAGGAATCCAGGGGAAACTCATAGGTAACCAGGGGTAACTCGTGGGTAACCAGGCAAAACTCAAAGGTAACCAGCGGAAACTCATAGGTAACCAAGGGAAAATCATAGGAATCCAGAACAAACTCATCAAAGGAAGTTTAGCAAGAAAACTTCCGTAACACTCAAAGTTGAGTCACAAGATCCGCGTGCGGGTTCGCCACGGTCTCGCCACGGTCTCGCCACAGTCTGGCACGCGCGCAGACGTTTTCGGAGGTTTCTCGGAGGTCTATTTTGCGTGGCAGGCGCAGCACTTTGGCAACCTCTAAGGTGCAGATTTCGTGGCATGCGCAATATTTTTGCAATTGCAAGGTCAAGTGCAGATTTCGTGGCAGGCGCATCATTTTCGCAAGGTCAAGTACAGGTTTCGTGGCAGGCGCAGCACTGTCGCAAAGGTCGATAGATGGATAGATCAAATGGGAAGAGAGAGAGAGAGAGAGAGAGAGAGAGAGAGAGAGAGAGAGAGAGAGAGAGAGAGAGAGAGAGCAAGACGGAGACGGAGGTATGAATCGCGTGGCAGGCGCAGCACTTTGGCAGCCTAAGGCGCAAGTTGCGTGGCAGGCGCAGCATTTTGCAGCCATGCAAGGGCAAGTACACATTTCGTGGCAGGTGCAGCACGTTCGCAAGATGAAGTACAGATTTCGTGGCAAGTGCAGCACTTTCGCACGGTGAGGTGATAGATTGACAGATAAATAGGTCGAGTACAGATATAGTGGCGGGCGCAGCAATGGCAGCCTGAGGTGCAAGCCGCGTGGCAGGCGCAGCATTTTGCAGTCATGCAAGGGCAAGTACACATTTCGTGGCAGGTGCAGCACGTTCGCAAGGTGAAGTACAGATTTCGTGGCAGGTGCAGCACTTTCGCAAGGTGAGGTGATAGATTGACAGACAGATAGGTCGAGTACAGATAAGGTGGCGGGCGCAGCATTTTCGCAAGGTCAAGTGCGGATTTCCTGGCAGGCGCAACACTTTTGCAAGGTCTGGTGATGGATAGATAGATATATAGATAGATAGAAAGACAGATACAAAGATAGATACATAGATAGATCAAATGGAAAGAGAGAGAGAGAGAGAGAAAGAGAAAGAGAAAGACAAAGAGAAATAGAAAGAAAGCAAGCAAGAAAGAAAGAAAGGAAGAAAAGAAAGAAAGAAAGAAAGAAAGGAAGGCAAGAAAGAAAGAAAGAAAGAAAAAGGAAAGAAAGAAAAAAGAAAAAGAAAAAAAAGAAAGAAAGAAAGAAAGAAACAAAGAACGAACGAATGAAAGAAAGAAATAGAGAAAGACAGAACGAAAGAAAGAAAGAAAGAAAGAAAGAAAGAAAGACAAAAACAAAGACAAAAAGAACGAAAGAATGAAAGAAAGAAAGAAAGAAAGAAAGAAAGAAAGAGAAAGAAAGAAAGAAAAAGAAAAAGACAAAGAACGAACGAATGAAAGAAAGAAAGAAAGAAAGAAATAAAAAAAGACAGAAAGAAAGAAGAAATGAAGAGAAAGAGAAAGAGAAGGAGAAACAGAGAAAGAAAGGAAGGAAACAAAGAAAAAAAGACAGAAAGAGAAAGAAAGAAAGAAAGAAAAAGAAAGAAAGAAAGAAAGAAAGAAAAAGAAAGAGACAAAGAACGAACGAATGAAAGAAAGAAATAGAGAAAGACAGAAAAAATAGAGAAAGACAGAAAGAAAGAAGAAATAAAGAGAAAGAAAAAGAGAAAGAGAAAGAGAAAGAGAAAGAGAAAGAGAGAAAGAAAGAACGAAAGAAAGAAAGAAAGAAAAAAAGAAAGAAAGAAAGAAAGAAATAGAGAAAGACAGAAAGAGAGAAACAAATAAAGAGAAAGAGAAAGAGAAAGAGAAAGAGAAAAAGAAAGAAAGAGAGAAAGAAAGAAAGAAAGAAAGAAAGAAAAATGCAGAAGAAAAAAAAGAGACAAAGAAAGAAACAAAGAACGAACGAATGAAAAAAAAAAAGACAGAAAGAAAGAAGAAATAAAGAGAAAGAGAAAGATAAAGAGGAAGATAAAGATAAAGAGAAAGAGAAAGAGAGAAAGAAAAAAAGAAAGAAAGAAAGAAAGAAAGAACGAAAGAAAGAAAGAAAGAAAGAAAGAAAGAGAAAGAAAGAAAGAAACAAAGAAAGAGACAAAGAACGAACGAATGAAAGAAAGAAATAGAGAAAGACAGAAACAAAAAAAGAAATGAAGAGAAAGAGAAAGACAAAGAGAAATAGAAAGAGAAAGAGAAAGAGAAAGAGAAAGAGAGAAAGAGAGAGAAAAAAAAGAAAGAAAGAAAGAAAGAAATAAAGAAAGACAGAACGAAAGAAAGAAAGAAAGAAAGAAAGAAAGACAAAAAGAAAGACAAAAAGAACGAAAGAATGAAAGAAAGAAAGAAAAAGAAAGAAAGAAAGAAAAAGAAAGAAAGAAAGAAAAAGGAAGAGAAACAAAGAAAGAAAAAAGAAAGAGAAAGAAAGAAAGAAAAAGAAAGAGACAAAGAACGAACGAACGAAAGAAAGAAATAGAGAAAGACAGAAAGAAAGAAGAAATAAAGAGAAAGAGAAAGAGAAAGAGAAAGAGAACGAAAAGAAAGAAAGAAAGAAAGAAAGAAAGAAAGAAAGACAGAAAGAAAGAAAGAACTAAAGAAAGAGAAAGAAAGAAAGAAAAAGAAAGAGACAAAGAACGAACGAATGAAAGAAAGAAATAGAGAAAGACAGAAAGAAAGAAGAAATAAAGAGAAAGAGAAAGAGAAAGAGGAAGAGAAAGATAAAGAGAAAGAGAAAGAGAAAGAGAAAGGGAAAGAGAAAGAGAAAGAGACAGAAAGAAAGAAAGAAAGAAAGTGAAAGAGAAAGAGAAAGAAAGAAGGAAAGAAAGAACGAAAGAAAGAAAGAAAGAAAGAAAGAAAGAAATAAAGTGAAAGAGAAAGAAAGAAAGAAAAAGAAAGAGACAAAGAACGAACGAATGAAAGAAATACATAGAGAAAGACAGAAAGAAAGAAGAAATAAAGAGAAAGAGAAAGAGAAAGAGAAAAACAAAGAAAGAAAGAAAGAAAGAAAGAAAAAGAAAAGAAAAAGAAAAAGAAAAAGAAAAAGAAAAAGAAAAAGAAAGAGAAAAAGACAAAGAACGAACGCAACTAACAAAAAACAAGTCAACTCTTCTCACTTTGGAAACTTCCGCCCACCGGCGTCGCCGGCTCTACTGGTAGGTATCCAGGGGAAACCCATAGGAATCCAGGGGAAACTCATAGGTAGCCAGGCGAAACCAGGGGAAACTCATAGAAAAACAGCGGGAACCCGTACAAAAACAGCGGAAACCCATAGGCGACGAGGGGAAACGCAGAAACAACAGGTGAAGACCCGGTGAGGCGATTATGTCTCGAGTGCTAGGTTGGCAAGCCACAAAAGGGGAACCAGGGTTTGTAATTGGGTTTCATCTGGTTACCTAGTGGCTTGCCTGGAAGGCTTGGGTAGAGGCAAAAGGTTAAAACCTGGAAACCGGGCAAAGCAAACAACTAGAGGGTAATCAGGGGTAGAAGGAAACCATGGAAAGTAGCATACACAGAATACAATCAGTCATACCCAATGAGTACAGGCACACAAATCGGGAGATACACTAGGGTCAAATTGCTAACCTCACTTTAGAACTCGGGAAGGGAGTAACTGACTCTTTACTCACAGTCCAAACAGGAACCCACAAAGGGCAACCAAGCAGTACAAATCAATGCCAGTGAAGCTCAACCGATGGACGAACCAAAGTTGATACCCTGGTTTCTCGCAGGTGGGTTTGACTTTGTTTACTACCCCACGGTAGACTACTACCACCAAGGGTTGCGCTTTTGGGGAACTGAACCACCCCTGCGCATCTGCGTCTACCTTGGGGTAATGTTGACCCGGATTCATCAACATGGGCAAGGATGAGCCCCTCCAAAAGTGGTCTAAATCCCGATATTTCACCCACTCAGGTTAACTCACCCTCTTAATCAACTATGATGAATCCGGGGTTCCCATTGCTTTCCAAGGCTTTTCGGGCTCCCTGGAAGTCAGGGGCTTCTAAAAATGGCGAATGGCCCCGCAGCCGGGCCGCTGCCGACCGCGCCGGCCGCCAGCCGCGCCGCAAGGCGTTGCCGCTGCAGCGCGGCGCGCTGCCGCGCGCGCTGCGCCTGGCACGTGAGCTTGAATCGCTCACTTGGCCAACTTTGGGCAAAGGTGGAAGCACTTTTTGGGCCACCACTCAAGGGGAAGGAAACAAACCAAGAAAATAGTGGAAAGTGGCTGTGTGTGTGTGTGTTTGGTGAGATTTTATACACATGGCCGAGAGTGGAAAAAGACACACGTTCAGTGTTTTTGGCCCAACCCGCAGGAACTCCACATGTCCAGATGTGGTCAAAACTTTATGGCCGATTGGGTCTTGGTCTTGGTTCCCTGAACAGGAATCATAATAGTTATAAGATCCTCATCGGATGACCATCCCAACGTCAACCCCAAGAAAAGGAACCGGTCTTTTGACCACATGATGTTTCATGTTCAGAACTTGAAGCACGCATAAATTGATCTCGGAGACCTCAAGTGCTCAAAGCGAATCGGTTCCTGAACCCCCGAAGAGAAAAATCGGGTCGGTCCAACTCCCCAGGCTCTCAGCAAAGGGGAAATCACCAACCATCATTTTGGGGCGACGCACCCACGTTTTATGGTAGTGTGAGGCTCCAGGTCGCTCTTTTTTAGGCAATGACTGTGAAGTGTTGCTTAGGAGAGCGGTTCATTCCTCGGACCATCTTGCATCTAAGTAATACAAGGAGCCAAAAAAAAACAAACATCTGTTCAGAGCATGCCGTACGTTGCTTCTAAAGTACCTCATATGCCCTTTGAGTATACCTGGATCTTCCAAAGTGTGTATGGTTCATGCCTTTTCGTGAAAACTTGCTTTTCCAGACCAACCACATGTCGTGTGTATCCAGCTACTTTTCACTTTGTCGCTCTTCTGGGACACATCCATGAAGGGGAAACAGCGACAATACCCGACCAAACGGCGGCTTTCCCCGACCCTGTGTTCAGCCAAATTTGAAACGACACGTTTGCAGTGGAAAAAGTCTCCTTTGCGACCAAAGGACGGAAATTTGTGCTTTTTAGCAAACGGCGGGAAAAATGCGCACCTGAAGATTCAGGTATAGACTTGTCTACTTCCGCCAGGGCACCTTAGATCCGGGTGAAAATAGATGGCACAAGTCCTTTGATGCGTGTAAAAACGGGGATGACTAAGCCAGAATAGGTCACAATAGTGCCATATCCTGTCACACAACTAACATGATCGCCCCTCCAAATTACTACTTTTTCATAGACCCCGCAACCTTGTGGCGGTTTCACACGGTGTCTTAAAGGAAATACATAAGAACCACCTGCTTCACAGGCCTCTAATCAGCCGGCATTTGGGTGTTGTTGTTTTTGCGCCGGCCCCTACAAGTATGCTGTACTTGGGTGTTCGATTCGCCAAGTTAGCAAGTCGTTTGTAAGCTATCTAGGTTCTAATCCACAAATTCAGTCCCCCTAAGTGGGTATAACCGTTCTTAGGGTTGTAGCCGACTTGGCCAACCGCAGACACGAACTTGCGACGAACATCCAAGTAAGAAACCCTGTTTCAGTGTCCAGAGATCGAACCATCCATCCAGCTCCTGGCTCGCAATCACGCGGTGACGCAGGTCTCCCGTGTCTGAACCTGGGTAGGTAGGTAGCTTAGTAGGTAGGTAGGTAGCTTAGTAGGTAGGTAGGTAGCTTAGTAGGTAGGTAGGTAGCTTGGTAGATAGGGTAGGTTGGTGGGTGGGTTGGGGGGTAGGTTAGTGGGTAGGTTGGTAGGTGGGTTGGTGGGTTGCTAGATGGGTTGGTGGGTTGGTAGATAGGTAGGTAGGTGGGTTGGTGGGTCGGTGGGTGGGTTCCTCCATCGCCTCCTGTTGGGCGCTTTGTCGTAGGAGCCAATGGCGCAGCGCCGGCTCCTCCCCCAGAAGCCGCCACTGCAGGGAGCTGCTGGGGCCTCGAAACCGGCGAAGCGAGCGACGACCGGGACCGTCAAGGCGAGTCCATAGAGGACTGGACCCGACAGGGCCATGTCTTGCGTTTGCCCGAGATGGCCATGTCTTGCTTTGTGGCTTTCTGGGGGACCCCCACAAAAGGTGATGTCTCCTTTCTAGTGGTTTCCCCTTTTGAAAACACAACAAAAAGGTAGCCTCAAAGAAAGACGCGCCCAAATCGGCGTTAGTCACTGCAAACTGCGCAACAAATGTGCTCCCAGACATTGTCACCTTCTCAATGCTGAATCCACCACAAGAGTGGACAGTTTACATCAAGGTGCCTCTCTGCTATTACGGGGGGAGCGCAGTGTCCAGCTTCCAATCACAAACGAAAACAGGTCCAGTGCAGGACACCGAATCCCTAGGCTCATTCCCTCATTCCCTACTGAGCACCAGCAAGACTGAGGCGAACGTTTGTTTGACACCCTTTGGCCGCATTGTTTCCCAAGACCGCAACTTGGGCCGGCACAAGCCATGGTGCAGAATCGCGCGGACGGGTTGCACATCCACGCACAAATCAAGGCAACGTCAGGAGTGGGAAAACCACAGAAGTTCTCCAAAAAGTTGGCGCCAACCCAACCAACCAAGCAACCAACTAGCCAGCCAGCCAGCCAGCCAAACCAACCAACCAACCAACCAACGAGCGCCCCTCTTTCGCCCCGCGAGCCAAAAAAGAGCGCCTCGCATGGCAGCCTGCAGAAGCTGCAGAGGCCGGGGTAGCAAGGAGCGGCGCCAGTCATCCTGCGGCCGGGCGGGCGGTCCGGACCAAAAAGAGAGCTGCAGGGTGGCGATTCAGCTTCCCTTTGGAGCCCGGTGGATGGTGAAACGGGGTGGTTTCAATGTGTGTTTTTGAAGGCTGATTACCCTAGTCACCTTGGTTTAAAGGGAAACCAACAGCCAAACCGCAGTTTTTGGGGGCTACCCTATTTTGACACGCACCCAATTCGAACGGAGTTGTGCGGTACTTTACAATCAAATGCATGACAGTCATGAGCTGATTTGGGCCTATCAACCCCTGAGTTTTCTGCTTGCACCATACCGTACCCTTCAGCCCAAAACAACAACTGCAGCTTTTGTCCCCCGACGAAATCACGAGCTTTCCATCAAAGCAGACACCAGCCGTCCAGACCTTACAACAAACAAAACCGGCCCAGAAACCATCAGCTTGAAGGAGTTCTGAACTCCCAAGAGCCCGTCCCACTCACCCTTCCAGTTCCCTCTTCGGGAACCACCAAACAAATGCGCAACTCGGCGAGTTGCATTTCTTTGCAAAAACGAGAAACGAGAGGCCGACACTTCTGGAAACTCCTGGGTCGCGAAAAGGCGCAAGAGGCCAAGACCGCCCAAACCCCTCGGTCTAGGCCCTCCCTTGGTCCTGTCGCCCCTCCCCCCCTGACCCCCCCTCACCCCCCAGGCCAGCGCCGAGCGCAAACTCCGCCGCGCGCCGTGCCGCAGGGCGCGGCGCAGCGCCAGCGCGGCGTCGGCGCTCTTTTGGGCCGCCGCCAACGCCTCGAGGCACCCGAGGCGGCTACGAGACGTCGCCACGGGGCGGTGGTGCAAACCGGATCTATGTGATCCTTGGGCCATGCAAACATGCTCAGATCATGTAAGAAAGTCAAGGGGTAGTATGGAAGAAAGTCAAGGGGTAATATCTTCTATGTTTGCGTCTCAAAATATGGGGAATGAGAGTTATGGTGTCTAACCCGAGATGAACCATCCAACTGGTGTCCTTTATTCGGGTACCCCAGGTTCATTCCATTTCTCATTCCCTGCGTATCGCACCAGCAAGTTTAGGGGTGTGTGTCTGGTTTTGAGGGTACATAACAGGGATTGCCTTTTCGACATGAACGGCCTCCCTTGAAAAGGGTTTCTACACTGCCAAAAAGGCTACTCGTTTCTCCCACGAACAGTGGAAAATGCAAACCATGGCACCTAAAGCCTCAAACTACCCATGAAAATGGGGTGGATGGTATCTTTTTGAGGGGAAGCCACGGTGTTTTGCTCGCGAAAGGCGATAAGCAGGGAATGCCATCCAAACACACTGTCTTGTTTGTTTTTGGGGCCTTCTCCTTCTTTCCCCCTCCCCAAAAAATCGCTGTCGAACAGACACTGTGCGCTATCGCAAAGGCAAAAGGATCCGGTTCCTTCGGGTTTCCCAAACCTCTGCCCTAAGAACCAGCACTTCTTGGTCGGTCCCGTCAAACTACCCAACTAAAAAATGGGGGTGCACCGGAAAACTATGGTTGGTGGTGTCCCCCTTTAAAGGGCAGTTCGCGGGTCCAGGCGCCCCATTTTTGTTGGTGCTTGGCTTTCACCTGCCACTGGGATGTTGCCAAGTTGGTTCGAACTTGCGAACCCCACAGGGCCTCAGGGGACTGAACTGGGTGACCGTTCGGGTAGCAACAGCTTAGCGTGGCGCATCGAACACCCAAGCACTCGGCTTCCCAAGCTTTTGGGGAGCCCCAGAAATTCAAATCCAAATCCACACCAGTCCAAACCACCAACCAAGGGTTTCCTGAGTCACTGCGGCCCAAGTTGGCAAGTTCAGGTACGGGGGGTTTGGTTTAAAACAAAAAACATGTAGCCATAACACCAAAACCCAGACCTGGATATGCTGTCAAAATTCCCGGGAGTCCGGGAATAATCTTGGGTGTTCGATTCGCCAAGTTAGGAAGTTGCAATTGTAACCTCCGTGACAACCCACTTACAAGCCCCCGGTGAATGTGGGGTTAACAACTTGTTGACCAACCACAAACACTGACTTGGCAACGAACATCCAAGTATGATTTTCTATCCGGAGCCTGGCCGGTGGACATAAATCCCACTGCATGTTGATGTCCACATGTCGTGTCCTCCATGAAATATTCACACAAATAATTTAGGACTTCATGTCGCGCCATTCAGCTTGGTTTTGCCACAGGAGTCTAAACACGATGCAAACTCCACAAAACCGCTTGTCGCCGAATTCTGTTCGGAACTGTCCCGGAGCCTTCACTTACCCAGCTTATTTAACAAAGGATGGAACCATTCCAGCCCATTGGAGGGTTTTTCATGGAACTCCCAGGTGTCCCAATTGACACATTGAGAGTTTTGTGCTCCCAAAACAACGCGGCCACACCGGTTTAGGCCTAAGCCCTCTACCTGAACCACTTCCTCCATGTGTAAACCCTCTACCCTCCAAGCCGTCCGTATAGACCCTCTAATACTGAACAAACTACGAACATTGCCTTCTTGGCCTCGGTTTTGGACGCTCATTTCGCCTCTTCCGGCAATAGGCTCTTCAGTTGAGTCAATGGCGGAAAACCTCCAGCCCCAGATGTTTTTTTTTCCCCGAAGCCCCGGGGTCTCAAAGCAAGCAAGAAACCCCGGCGCATCGTTCTCAACCGAAGCGCTTTGTGGGTACAAACTGAAGCCGAAGCATATGAAAACCAGAGCGTTTATTGATTGCACGTGATCCTCTATGCTCATGAGGTAGATCAGTCTTAGAGCCCCCTGCAAACCCATGCTAATGATTTAGGGACCTGCAATATCAAACCACAAGGATCGGACAAAGTGGCTTGCTTCGCAAAGAGGGCCCATCCCACGGGAAAGTTGGGCTCCCAAATCAGTCGGCAATCAGACGCCAGCGATGGGAATGTCACAAGCCGACTGAAGCCATTTTTGTTCTCACCCCAACTCACTTCTCCAGTGCAGTGGATAGGCCAAAAAAGTCTAAACTTGTTATTTACCACTGAACTGTCTTCCCAAAGAGTATAAAGTCCAAAAAAACTCAGGGAGTGAGCTGAGGGTCATGCCTCCTGTGGGAGGACGCAAGACCCCGTACGCCCCGAATGGCTCTAGTCTCCAAAGGGCCTGTTTCGCAGCCCCCAAATCCATCAGGACAGCTTCGGGCTGAAAGCACAAACCAGCAAGAAACGAATGAAAGGAAACAAGATGGTCGAAGGAGACATCAGCATCTGCCCTCATGGGCGTGTTGTAATTTCGCGTTTCCTCCAAAGGAAAAGTCGGAAGCTTCCAAACCTTCCGATCGTATCCATGCTTGGCGAAAGGGTAAGATGGCCCTCTGGCCGGCCCAAGATGGCTCTCCGGAACAATTCACTTTGGTGAAACTGCGACAAGTTGTGTTCCCTTTAAAAATTTGCCCCAGCCTCACAAGCGCCAGCGGGTCATAGGTCTTCTTTTGGTACAAATGGCCCTCAATGGCAAAATTAAATAAACCAAAAACCCGTGGGATCCATCGATGTCTATCCTAAAACGGACGCCTCTTCGTGGCAAAAATGGCCCTGCCACAGCCGCTTGCCCAACCGCGCCTTGAGCTTCGCCAAGTCCTCCGGCGCCCGGCTCTTCCGGTGCGAGGCCTGGCGTGACGCGCGACTGGCACGGGGCGAAACAAGCAAACCGAACGGACCATGCAGACACACGAGACCTGATCATATGATCAGATTTTCAGAGGATAAAATGTGAAAGCCGCGAGTTGCACAACTCGGCAAACGAAAGGGTCAAAAGCAAGACAAGTGAGTGCTCAAACACAAGCAACTGCAACCAATTAAGTAAAGTGAGCCAAAAGAAGCCGAGGAAAAACACAACACAAGGTGAACAGAATCAAGTGGGGGGATAACTATGAAACCACGAGGGAAACCGCAAGAAAGATGCCTTTCCCCACCAGGCGGGAAAAGTTGCCCATGATTATTTGCGGGGTCCGCACGGAGTATTGACCAACCCCCAAGTCAGAAGAGAAAAAACAAAGTGCAAATGCCAACTGCGAAGCCGCCACAAGCTGGTGGCTTCCGTTGTTTGTCGCCTGGCTTCCCTTTTATCCTTTTCCGCCCAAGGTTGAACCCACCCCGATGTGACATGAGTGAAAACCCGAATGGTGTGAAGCTTCGCAGCTTTCGGTGCCCTCAAGTCCAACATACAATCTCATGGAGTCCCCGGAAATCCAACCCCAGCCGTTTGTGCCGTTTTAGTGGTTGGTCGTCTTGATTCACCTGGCTTCACATGGCTTGTCACAGCCATGGTACCAAATGTGAATGGGTCAAACTTCTTCGAAAGACCGATTTCCTTTACTTGGGGTTGGGACGGGTATGGACCCAGACCGATCCGAGGAATTTAGAGAAGTGTTCTGAGGTCGTTATGGCGAGCTCACCGCGAAACCATGAAGGTGCTTTACCCAAAAATCAAATGTCTATCTCAGGTTGAATTCTTGAACATTTCATTTTGACAGTTTCCGGGAGTTGTCAAAGGCAAAACCGGGTTGGTCCCTTTTAACTCACCACTGCGAGGGTGGCTTTGGTAAATTCATGAACTCAGTAAGGGTTGGGCGGGAGCCATGACCATGGCCATTTGAGCTTTGACCATGGCTCACCAGTCTTTTTCCGCCAGATTTAGTGGAAGTCAACATTTTGTTTCCTCGGGGAGGTTCCCTAAGGAACCAGAAGGATAAGGAACCCGAAAGGGGCTCTCAACTGCCCCCCGCAACGTACCTGCCCCTGTTCTTTTCGAAGTCCTGAAGAGTGGCCATCGCAATTTCCGGTGGTTGGTTTACCATAGGACAACAGGCTGGCGGTACCAGGCAGCATGGTATCTTGTTTGGAGTTGGTACTTTCATTTGGCACAGGGAAACCAAAAAGTAAACCGTCAGGGTGGCGCGTCCTGTAGGATTTGGACCGGGACCCCAAAATGGCGGTTTTCGGTGTTCCTTCAGTGCCTCGCCTTTGGGAAACCAAGAGAAACCGGTTTCCCATTTGTGGGCTTAGCAATGGAGACGGAACTTCCTGAGGCCAAAGTGGTCTTCCCGAGAGAGTCCAAGAACTCAGAATCTTTCCAAAATCGGGCCATGCTTACGGGGTTTCCCGTTGCCATTGCCTTAAAATTACCAAAAGAAAACCAGCCTCGCAAGACGCAAGCGTAGCTTTCCATAAAATGAATGGACACGGGACACACCACTTCGAGCCCTGTCCTTTGGGCTCCGACCCTTATTCCCCTTGATTTTCTGGGTTGCTCCAAGCCGCCAGCAAAAGGTGGTTAGACCTTTTGCTGTGGAAAAACCATTTGCAAACCCAAAAGGTCCTGACGGGCTTTCCCTTGTCGAGGAAACCGAGTGCAGGACTTGTGCCCGAAAAATCAAGAGACCTGCCATGTCTTCTTGGGGAAAAGCCACAGGTCCTCAAAACCCCGCCCCCCCCCCCAACCCCCCAACCCCCCAAACCCCCCAACACCCCAACCCCCCAACCCCCCCAACCCAACCCCCCCACCTCCCCAACCCCCCAACCCCCCCCAACCCCCAAACCCCTCCCAAAAATCCCCCAACCCCTCCCGCCTCAGACGCCATCGGCTCCCGGAGCTTTCGGGCGGCGCTCTGCAGGCGGAGCTGAAGGCGCCGCTGCAGCGCCAAGTCCTTGAGAACTCGGGTGGATTTCAGTCGCATCCGATGCCTTCGCCGGAATCCATGGGGATCTTATGGGGATGTCATTGGAATATCATGGGGAGATGGGGAATGTTCAGAAAGTGTCACTGGATTTTAGGGGATTTCTGGAAAGTTCAGTCTGTTATACATTTCTGCAAGGGGATGCCATCAAAAAGTGGCCATCTCAATCCGACATTGGGTCAGGTCTTCCCATGGGGTTTTCATTGGACCAAATAGTCGGAATATCTCCATTGTCTCAAACCAGGCACCTCAAAATTATCCGGCAGTTCTCTTTTTGTTCCCCCCCCCCAAAAAAAAAAGTACACCCAAACGCAAAAGTCAGTGCAATCGTGGAATGAAGGGGAATCTGCATGGGACGCTGCGCATTCAGAAAGTCAAACAAGTCAGTGCACTAATTTGGAAATCTCAATGGGGACGCACGGTTTAAGAATGTTCCTTTTCGGGCGCAGGAAGCAGCCTGCAAGGTGTAAACCCCATGGGATGTAGCATGTGAAACCAACAGAAAATACACACAGGGCAGTCGCAAAACCCAACGGAACGCGGCGCGCAAAACATACCAAGTTGCGAGTGGAAACAAGCGTCTGGCACTGGCAATGCCCATGGGGACGCAACATGTAAAGTAAACAAAGGCGTGTGTGTTAAGTACCCGCTTTCAGGTTGCACAAACTCTGCTAAGGGTCTCAGATTTGGCGCACTTTCGTTTCAGTGCGGCGACATAAACTGCGAACGGCTTGATTTCTCCTGACAAGGTTCAGGAGAAACACAGGTGGCGCAAACTCCTGATTTGCCTTAGGCAAGTTGAACGAGGTGAACGAGGTGGTGAACGAGGTCCAAACTTATCTTGCTTTGACAACCGCCAATACTTAAAGAAAAGGAAGCAAGAGCAGCTGCACAGGTAGAGCCAACATCGAATCCCCATACGAGACGCACATCAAGCATTCAGCGTTTCCCTGGTTTCGCTTGGGTGTTCAATCCAAGATCCAAGCAACAACATGTGAAACACAACCTGGGCGCAACATCTTCCTGGAAATCGAAACCCAATGGAATACACACGTTGAAACACAAACGCATCGACTTCGGAAACAGGATGTACCCTCAACAAACGACACCCGCCATAGTCTTGTCTTTAACTGGGAAAATCCTTAAATGGACAGTTCCTGTCAAACCAGCCCTGAAAAAGGGCACGTCAAAACAACTTATCTTCATGCATCACCTCATTCAATGAAAACTCACATTAAATAGAAAACCACATTAAGGCGAAGGAAACCATTGTGTAAAACCTAGAGGTAGCCATGTCTGGTGGTAGCTGGAAGCACTGGGTGATACTTTCAGATTCTGTTTCATGTCTAGTCAACCCTCTGTAAAGTAGCTTTGGAAAAAGAAAGGGGGTGAAGATGCGAAACATGTCAAAACCACTAATTGGATGTTCGGGCAAGTTAGCAAGTGGCTAGCCAATTGGGGTATAATCCCTTCTCGTCCCTTCTAAGTGTTAACAACCTGTTCCCACAGACACTAACTTGGCCAATCCAGGACCCGACCCTCGGCAAGTTGTTGGTAACCTGGCTCGGCTATAAACCACTTCCCGCCTAAGTGGGGTTAACAACTTGCTAACCCCCCCACAATTGGCAAATCACAGACACTAACTTGGTAACGAACATCCAAGTGGTCTTCCAGAAAGTACAAAAGCAACCACCCTAAGCATCTGCCGTCTTCAGTCCCAAGCCACGACAACGCCCCAACCGCCACCCAATCGATCCCATCCGCGCGACGGCGCGCCTGCCACCGCTCCAGGGCCTCCCGCAGCGCTGTGTTCCGCAGCGCCGCGCTGAGGCGCGTGGCGCGAACGGACCACAGCTGCAGCGCCGCCAGGCAGAGTCGGTGGTGCACCGGTTGGTAGGACCAGGCGTCCGGGTCCTGATGCAAACAAAAACAGGCGGGTGAAAAAACGGGGTGGGCGGCGCTTGTTGTTATTTTTGCGTTTTGTTCTGTTTGTGTTTTTTCTTCTTTGTGCGTTTTCCTTTTTTGTGGGGGCGGGGGGGAGGCGGGGGAGTGTTTGTTTGGTTGTTTTTTGGGGGGAGGGGCAAGTTGGAAGGAAGCGGCGGGGTGGGGGGGAGGCGTTGCAACGCGCAACCCTCGTGCTTGGGGACTATAGTGCCAAACAAAGGCTTCCCCCTCAAAAGAAGGAAGGGAGCATTCAGACACAGCCCAAACAAGGGTTCCACAAAAAGCACCAGGGAAGCCTTGCAAAACAACTGCCAGACATAATGTGCTCCCCCTCAAAAACAAAAACAAAACAAACACCTAGTCCTGGCCAACAAATCGCAGGGACCGGATCCCTTCCATCAACGAGGCCAGCCCCGTCCTGCACGAAGCCCGGGCTGAGACTCGTGCTAAGCGGCGCATGCCTTGCGGTGCAAGACAGGCCTGTAACCCAAAACCGGTGTACCAAGGAGACTCCGTTTCTACTGAGATGTTCGTCCAAGTCAGTAAAGTGGTTGGCCAATTCGGGGGTGCAACCCCCCCAAGTTAGTAAAGCGGTTAGCCAATTGAAGGTGTCACACACACACACACCCAAGTTAGTAAAGTGCACATGGTTAGCAAATTGAAGGTGTACCCCCCCCAAGCCCACAAGGTTAACCCCACTTAGAGGGACTTATAAGTGGGTTATGACCTAGGTTACCAGCAACTTACTAACTCGACCGAACATCCAAGTAGAAATGACGCTGTTGAAGGGTCCATGTAATTCTGTGAAGGACTGTGTAGTTGTGCGATATGCCTACAGCGCATCACCATATTCCGGTGTGGCCCGTTTCCCCATCCTCGAAGAACCATCCCCCCCCACATGAATTTCCTACGGAACATGGGCCTTGCTGGGCCTCCTTGATTACACCTTCACGGATGAATGAGGCACTGACTTATTGTCACAAAGAACCCACTAGTTGGCAACTGAGTAGCATGTGTTTGGCTACTCCCAAGATGGCTTCGGTTTCCTTTGCTTTCCCTTTAAGCCCACCTAAAACCTCGGGCCACAAAAAAGGACGACTCGCCCAATCAGAACGAATGAGTCTCGAATTTTATAGGCTGAATCGGTCGAATCGCACGCGGCCATACCGCCAGCATGTGGGCAAAGGGAAGCGCAGAAGCTTAGCAGAAGCGTAGGACCCCTGCAGGTTGAAACACCCAAATGGGTGTCGTGTTTTGGGGAGTTGGTAGCCCTGCTTTGGTGGTTCTTAAGGAAACCACAGGAAAATAAAGACACGTCGTGCCATTCTGGGGAGGCCCGAATCCTAAAAAGGACCCATACCTTTCTGGGCTACTCCGGAATCGCTCATCGCTCCTCGGAACGCTGGCGAAGTGTTTACTTGAAACCGGCCACCACGCCTCCCCGCCAGGGTTGCGCCAACCCCCTTGGGCAAACATGACATCTACACTAAAATCTATCTTCTTTCAACTTGCCTCCCTTTCAAGTGAAGGGTCTGGTTGCCCGCCCAGAAAGGCCGCCTGCGGTCCCAACGGTTGGTGCCGCCGAGGTGCACCGCCGGCTGGAAATGACCCAGACTCGGGCAGGCTCCATGCCATCCGCAAGGAACGCTTCCCGCATGCATCGGCTTTCGGTGTTCGATCGCTTTCCGCTGTCGTTAGATCGGAGTGTGGGGTTCAGTTGCCACCATGAAAACACGGTTCATATTTCACCACCAGTGTTTACCCTTCAGGATTGTCATCCAAAGTGGCTCCTTGCCATTCCTTTTAATGGGAGCAAGCAAGGCACCCTAAGAGTAATGTCAAACTCTGACTGCTTGAAAGGACCCTACCAGCCAGACGCCTGAAATAGATGTCATTTCCTGAAAAGGGAGCTAGCCCTGAGTACGGTTATCCGGATGAATCCTAAGCTGACATCTTTAAACATTGGACACTGCCCCAATGTGTGTTCGAGCCGAGTCCGATTTTCAGGATGTAGGTACACCTGTTGCAAAATATGTGTGTGTGTGTGATAAGCACCTGTTTTCAACACAGTTTAATGGTATGTCAAGCTCGTGTTCGGCCGAACGGACACATAGGAGACCTATAGACTCGGCTCACTTCGAAATAAAAGGTTAAGCGTTTGCAACCTTGACTACATATGGACCAAATCAAGGAAACCTCAAAGGGTCGGCTGGCAAGTGAGTCAGTCTTGCCTGCTTGCGAGTATGGAATTGCAAATCAGGTCAATAAGTACACAGTTGTGGGGCATGGTCCCCCCGAAAAATAGGAACCCTTACACTTGTCTAGAATACCGTTTAACGGGTCCATGACCATCCCACCAACCTCAAGCCAAAGGGCTTTTTGTTTGGGGGGGGGGGGGGGGACTGGTGTGGGTGATATCCTGGAACCAAAAGAGCACTCCGGGGTCCCCCACGTTTTGGTATAACGGCCTGCAGATTTCGGTGTGAACGGTCTGCCGTAAACGCTCTGCCGGCCTTTCTGTTTCGGCTCGAGCCAATGCGGGTGCGGATGCCGACCAGTCTCCATGCCGTCACTGGCGGAGGACGCCACTTATGCTGGCGGCCCTGGCGGCCTTGAAGTTTGTCCAAGTCGTTCACAGCTCGGACCAATTGTGACACGTTGGAGACCGTGCGGTGCTCGTTTACCGTGAGTGATACAAGGAAGGGTCTGTCAAAACATGTGTCAAAAGGGATCCTGTTAGGAACGGAAAGAGCTGACAAAAGATACAAATAGCCTGGTTTTATGTACCAGGAGCCTCAAAAACCGATGAAAATGTCATACCTACAAAAAACACGATGTTTTTTTGGAAAACACGATGTTTTCGGGAAACACCGCATTTTCGATTTCAAGCAGATTCCCATTCATTCCTTCAACTCGTCATCCGTTCTCAAAAGATCTCAAAAGCATCATCTCAACCTCAGAATCTCCCATCGCCCTCCCCTTTTGCACTCGCAACGAAATCAGCTTCGCATTCGCCACTCGTCTTTCGCAACTCCAACCTGAAAGAAGGAGGCCGGGGACCCAAATAGTCAAAAGTACCACGGTTTTATGACACTTGTCAAGCAGCAGTGCCATGATGAGGGCGTGCTGGCTTCGAACAGCGCGCAAGCTCAAGCAAAGACCGTGCTTTTGCTCACGACTTCGTTGTTTTCCAGCAACATTCTCGAATTAGCGCATTCGTGGTTGAACCCGAAAAACCCATAGAATTTCCACGCTTTGCCACGCTTTACTACGGGTTCTCCACGGTTTAGCTACGGGTTAGAAAACACGATGTTTTCCAAAAACACGATGTTTTCGGTTGGGGCTGCGGGCTTTCTACGGGTTTCTACGGGTTTTCTATGGGTTTCTACGGGTTTTCTGCGGGTTTCTGCGGTTAGCCGCCAGGATCCCGCCCCATTTGCTAAAAAAAACTCAAAATTGATAAAAACAATCTCAAAAGTGTCACCTGGTCTTGTTTTGCACCAAAAGGAGCTTTCGGATTCCAGCACCCCCTTCAAACTGGTTCGGTATGACCTGGCGCCAGTCTTCAGGTGCCTGTTGCTGTGAAAGGTACTTCAAGACTGAAGCCAGCTGCACACCCTGGCTGTCAGGCTCATCAATGTGGTCCTTAGAATTTGAAGCATACTCAATATAGAGCGTTGCCCTCAGTTGAAATCTTAATGGGTGATGTCTGTGTGAATCCACTCCCGACCCTTGCCTTTGACCCTTTGCTCCAAATGAGTGTTTGGCCTCAGAAGCCAATTTTTTTCAGGGGTTTTATCAAAAACACGATGTTTTTCCTGAAAACACGATGTTTTCAGAAAATCGTGAAAAAGCACGATGTTTTAGTCAGGGTACGACATTTTTACAGGTTCTTGAAGCCCTAGGTAGTTGGTACCTGAGTCTCTTCGAAACACATCAACAATCGTCCGGCCTTCGAACCGGATCCAGCAACATGGATAAAGATCTTGGACTGGACTGGAAAGATGTTGGACAAACAAAAACTTAAATGTGATAGAGAAACATCAGAATGTCGTAAGTGGGTGTCTCTTGTTTTGTGTTGCCCCCTTTTGGTTGGCTTTAAAGGGAAAGCAACAGGAAAACCATTTCGAAATCTATTTTGCGGAGTCCAAATCCTTAAAACAGACGATCCACCCAAGTGCTTCAGGGACTTCCACCCTTGGTTTATCTGGAGGTGTGGGTTCCATGCCGAGCTGGAATCACTTTTCGGAGGGAAATTAGCTGCCATCCCAAAATCAGACAAGTCCTGCCAGTGGATCGTCACTTCTTTTTGAAGGGAAACCACGTGGAAAACCGAAAGGCAAACTCCCCTCAGCCCAGTTCGCACTCAGAAATAAAAGGTGATCACCTTTCAGGTTGGCTTTGGGCAAGTGAGTCCCTAGTCACATTTGATTCGATCTTTTAGCAGTTTGGTGAGGGCAAACAAAGCGAACCCTGCACCAAGGTTCAACCCAAATAGTGTCGAACTCGTTTGCCTCCATGCACCGGGTGCCCTGGAAATGGTGGAAGCACCACCGTCGGCTGGAAATTCCTCACTATCCGAACTACGTTCTTTTCAGGGCCCTCACGCCGAGCAAAGCCGCCTGGAAGAAGGAAACAAGGGCGTGGCCCGGGTTGGCATTTGGGCTCCGCTCACCCACCAGGTACAGAAAGGATCCCAGTGCCTCATCACTGTCATAGCTTGCAAGACGCTCCGCTTGGACGTTCTTTTCACCAAGAAATGGAGTCATGTACACTGCAGGGCTTCAGCAGTGAGCCCTCCTTTTCATACACTTCCCAGGGAAAAACCTCCTCAGGAGGGAAAAAACCTGGATCTCGCCAAGGCAGCGCGCCAATGTCAGAAGCAACTCCAGTTGTCATGAGCCCAAAGAGCCTGGGCGACATTTGCCACTGCATCCATATTTGTCGGCAGCTTTGCGTGGCGCTTTGCCAGGTGAGAGTGACACATGAAGAAGCCGCCGGGCCCCAATGCATGATGATTGGCGAGCGCACGAAACCTGAAGTGATGCAGTCGCTCTGCTTCCCCCCCGAGGCTTGCTTGAAATCCTACAAGCAGCTTGGCCAAAATGCACCGTGGCACCAGTCTGAGAGCTGGGCTCACTGTTGCAGATGAAGGCTCCGGCCTGACGACCGCGGACATACTGACACTGCAACGCGCCCATTGGTGTGAGAGACTCTGCCTGGTAGCCACAACAATGGCCAGAAAATCGGGGAGTGACATCGGACATCTCCTTTGCCTAGCCACAAGGCCAGCGGTTGATTGTGGCCTTCCTTCCCCACCAAGTTGGCCCGTTCACAGTGCTTCGGGGTGCTTTGGATGGCGCCTGGCAGCCGATGGCGGAGGCGAGCGCCGCTCGCTAGAGTTCGATCCGCTTCTTCGGCGCCGGCAACGCGTTCAGCAGCGCCCGGAGCTCCTCTTCGTCCTCGCGACCTGGGCCAAGGGGGAGGAAGAACGGGAGGGGACTGGGAGTGTGCTGCCAAGAAGGGTCCAAGAGGAAAGCGGGCAGGGAGCTGGTTGCAGATGCAGACAACGTTCCAACACCACACCTGGACCAGCAGGGGTTGGAAAATACGCTGCGATAGCCCAACACTTGCCCCAAACTCGAATCCGCCCCAAAAAGGTGCACCAGCCAGAGGCCCATCTGTTTCACATCATCTTGCCCATCACAAGGCCAACCATGTCGCAAACTGCATGTCGGAAAGCGCGGCCTCACTCGGCTACTGACATGATTCGGAGAGCCGCCTTCCTAGCCGCAAGCCTCAGGCAGCCTCATCCTCTGAAAAACTACTACCATATCAAGCAAATCTGCCTTGTCTCGTCCGTCTATTGACCCCAGGATTCCTCCCGGCCTGAAAAGGCAGGTGCAAAACACATGCTGGAACCGAACACATATAAATGGTGGGAGCACAAAGCGCTTGGCCCTCAAGCTCGCCTGCGCTTCAAAATACCTGGTACACGCGCAAGACCAACTGGCGAGGAAGTATATTGCGCAATGGAAAACCATACCCAACAGCAGCTTCGCTTCAGTCCGACTATACGGCACAACGTCTGCCTCCGCCATGTCCGAATCCCTAAAATGATTTCCTTGAAGCGGCCCTTTCATTCATCTGTCTTGCTCCCGTGCGCATGTGTGAGCAGACATGTAACTGTCCGGCTTTTGGAGCTCTTGAAACCCGCGGCCTCCAGCAACAGTATTTCCCTGGAAGTCTCAGGAAGGTCCAACGCAAACGAGGTCCTGCTAAGCCCCACCCAGCGCCGTGCCTCGCCCCGGCGCCTCTGCCCCCCTGGGCTGCCCGGCCGATCTCGTTGAAACGCAGATCCACCTCCAGCTGCTGGAGCTGCACCAGGCCGCGGAGGCCCTCCGCCAGGCCCCGGGCGCCATCCGGACCTCGGGGGCGGACGGCTTGGGCTGATGACCTCCTGGGATGCGGACACTCGCATATAGGAACGCTCCAAAATGGTTCAACATATGAACATAAGTGCACTTTGTGCAAGTCAACGCATACACACGCACTTTCCTTTGCAATACATGCTTAGCCTGCATATACAACTTGCCAGCCGGGTCTGACTTTGGCACTCCCTGCGTGTGGCGTGAGATACTACTACACACCCTTGTTGAGTCCCGAGGCGGCTCTTAGGTTC